CCGGGCCGGCTGCGGCTTGGCCGTGGCGCCGCTGCAATCGACATGAGCAAGCACCGGGACCACACTGGTAGGTAGTCGGCCGCGTCCACGGATAAATTCCTACAAAGAACCGAGTTACACTGTGAAGAGAAGTGCGGTCCACGCTTCCTGACCATTGCCACACATTGGGCCCGAAGACCGGAGGTGGCCGAAATTCTAGACGCGTTTTGAGCTCCAGAGTCGCTAAAAGGGACTCAAATCCAGTGTGTGACCCCACCTATGGATTCCGCTTTCGGAGAGCAATTCATTGGTGGGGTCACACGTTCGGTTCGAGTTCTGTTTAGCGACTCTGGAGCTCAAAACGCGTCCGGAATTTTGGCTGCCTCCACCGCGGTCCTCTGGCTCACTGTGCAGCCCCGCGACCGCGTCATCTCTGCGATTGGCGTCGAGGAAGTGCAGCTTGCAGTGCAGCGTGCAAGACCAGGGGGACAAGACATTGGCGTTTAATTAGAAGCCGAGCCGAGCCGAGCCGAGCCGAGCCGAGCCGAGCCGAGCCGGGTCGTGCTGGCGCCGAATTCCGAATCGGCAACAGCACCAGGCCGTCACGATGGCGCTGTCGTCGCCGTCGTCGTGGTCGAGGCGGCGACACGCGGCGCGGCCGAGGCGAGGCGAGGCGACGCGCTCGCGGGACAAGCGCGCGACAAGAAAAGAAACCAAGAGAGACGGCGATCCTCCCTTCGTGAGCACTGCGACGGACCGACACGCCACTGCAAAAAGCTGGAAAAACTAAAAGGCGCCCTTCTTCGCGAGCGGAGCTCCACGACCGTCGCTGAAAAATGGATTCGACCGCCACCGAACGCCCATCCCGTCCGTCCACATGCATGCCGTCCACAAGTCTGATATCCGCGAACGGGGCGGGGCGGGGTGGGGCGGGGCGGACCCGGATTGGACGCTCGGCTTTTCTATAATGGATTTCGCTCCGCTCCTTCTTGTTGGTCATTTTTTGGGGGGTCCGGCCCGCGACCGCGCGAGCCGCGGTTTCGTTGCAAACGACATGCTGTTTGATGTGGCGAAAGCCGGGGCAACATCATCAATGGCCTCTCTCTCTCTCTCTCTCTCTCTCTCTCTCTCTCTCTCTCTCTGCGGCCAAAAGGCCGCGGCGTCTAAACAATATCAACAACGGGCCCTCCATCAATGCAAAGTGCGTAGTGGGCCGGCACCGCAGGCTGCTGTCGAACGGAGCATTCCGCGTGCGGCCTCCCTCGCACTCACGGTGCACGGGGGCAATGGGTGCGAGAGAGACAGAGTGATTGGCGGCGGAAACGTGTCTCGATAATGGCCGCGTTTGCCCGTGGCGGCCCGTGGCTTCCAGTGCGGTGGCCGGGCTTGGCCGGGCGGAAAGCGCGAAACGCCGAACGGCGGGGACGCGAGGACCAGTTGGACGGCGGACGCGGCGCTAAACGGGACTCCAATCAAAACGATTCCTCGCTGCACGGAAGTCCGTTGGTGCGGCCTCGAGTTCCATTTCTCGATCCGAAATGTGCAGGCCACCCCAGTGTCCCCTTGCAGCGCCGAGGAAAAGCCCCGGCCGACGACGGGCGTCGAACCCGCGCCTCAATCGTGGCGCAGCGACGCGGAGCAGGAAGGCGCAGGCGCACAGTGGGCCAGAAGACCAGTGGAGGCGGCCAAAACTCTAGACGCGTTTTGGGCTGCAGAGTCGCTAAATGGGACTCGAACCGAACGTGTGACCCCACCAATGGATTGCTCTCCGAACGAGGAATCCATTGGTGGTGTCACACGTTCGGTTCGAGGCCTGTTTAGTGACTCTGGAGCTCAAAACGCGTCTAGAGTTTTGGCCGCCTCCACCGGTCTTCTGGCCCACTGTGAGGCGGCGATTGCGCTCCTCGGCGCTGCCGCGGTCCACACGTCAGCGGCGCCACCGTAAATCGGCGTCATGCGTCCGCGGGCAGCGCGGCCACGCCGTCACGAGCCGTCACGTCACGTCACGGGCCCGGCGTGACGCGCGGCGTGACACGCACCGTGGGCAGATGGTGCGCGAGGCGGCGGCGGTGACGGCGCCGCCGGCCGCGCGGGGGGAACCGGGGAGGACGCCGTCGTGGGCACTGCGACGTACTCCGGCGTACCCGCAGTGCCGCCGCAGCGCGCTTTGAGTTACGACTCGATTCACTCCGAGCTGGCGGGGTGGGGGTAGGGCCGGCACAGTGTAAATTGAAAACTCAGATTCCGCGTCCGGAACACGACACGCGCCAAAAGTTGTTCCCGCGCGTCAAAATTCGCAATGAGAAACTAGGGCGGAGCTGGAGCTGGAGAACGACGTGGTGAGTCAGCACCAAGAGTATTTTCATCAAGCCAATGAGCATTTCTCCGGGCCAAGAGCCTTGCTCCACGTCGAGACGCGCCAGGAGCATTTCTGGCCTCAGACAAATGGCCCCACTCCCCCATGACGTCACCATTGATTCCTGCATGCCGCGTCGCGGGGGCCGCGAATTACCGGTGACAAGTGAGGCAAGCAACCAACAGCGTCGCCATGCCGCCACCAGCCGCCACAGTTCCAGGCTTGCCTCCGGGCCAGTCTCCAGGCCTCACTCCAGGCCTCACTCCAGGCCTCACTCCAGGCCTCACTCCAGGCCTCACTCCAGGCCTCACTCCAGGCCACACTCCAGGCCTCACTCCAGGCCTCACTCCAGGCCTCACTCCAGGCCTCACTCCAGGCCTCACTCCAGGCCTCACTCCAGGCCACACTCCAGGCCTCACTCCAGGCCTCACTCCAGGCCTCACTCCAGGCCTCACTCCAGGCCTCACTCCAGGCCTCACTCCAGGCCTCACTCCAGGCCTCACTCCAGGCCTCACTCCAGGCCTCACTCCAGGCCTCACTCCAGGCCACACTCCAGGCCTCACTCCAGGCCACACTCCAGGCCTCACTCCAGGCCTCACTCCAGGCCTCACTCCAGGCCTCACTCCAGGCCTCACTCCAGGCCTCACTCCAGGCCTCACTCCGGGCCTCACCTCCCGACCGCAGGCTCGGCAGGCCGCAGGCAGGCCGCGGCGACGCAGTCTCCACAATGCCGCTCGTGTGCCTCATCACTCAGCGAGCGTCCTGGAGGAAGGGGAGGGGGAAGGGGGAGGACCATAAACTAATATCGCGCTCGTCCCGCCACCGGGACGCAGCAGCGTCTCGCGTCGCCTCGCGTCGCGTCCTCCCCCCACCGCCAGGCACACAAGAAGCGGCGGCGGGCCTAGTGTAGTGGTGGCGGGGCGAGGCCTAGCGAGGCCTAGCGAGGCACGGCCCATTCAGCGCGTGTGTGTGTGTGTGTGTCTGTGTGTCGCACGCTCATGCATTTGTTACATCACCGTGTTTGTTCGGCTCGTTGGCGCGAATTCCAGTCGGCCGCGCGTCTCCTCCTATGTAGTCTGATTCCCAACAGCGCTTTCATCGCTCCGTTCCGTCTCTCTCGCACCCTCGCGGAGCGGCCTTCCGCGTGCGAGAGCGACGGAAGCACTGTTGTTTGGAGTCGCTCTCCGGCCCCAGCGCGGCGTTCCCAACTACGTGCTGCCGCCGCCGCCACGCGGTAGCGAAAGCGGAGCGGTCGTCCCCTTCTTGACGGCGAGCTCGGCGAGCACGGCGTCGTCGGGGAGCAAGCCGCGCTAGCACATGCAAAGGTCACGTGTCTCGAGGGGCTCGACGTGTGGCGCAGCCTGCCGACGAGGAGAACCGGCAGGCCGCGGCAGGCCTTGCCTTGCCAAGGAAGGCGCTGTCAAGGCCCTGCCAGGGAAGGCCTCGCCAACCAAGGCCGCTCCTCCACTGCCAAGGCCCCACTGATTAAAGCGCGCGGCACGATAGCTGCAGAGCGGCCGCAACGCCAACCAGACCGAGAGCCAGACCGACCGACCGACCGCAGTGCCGCAGTGCAGTGCAGCATCCATCGCGGAGAGGAACATAAAACGCGCAGCCCCGGAAAACGGAATGAAGCGACTGCAGTGTTCTCTCAATCGCCATCGACGATTAAGACGCCAAACGGGGCATGTTCCCGGCCGGGCGGGTACGCGTGCGCGGGCACGTCGTTGCGGGGGCGGGCGAGGTGTTCGCCGTGCTGCCTCAGATGAGGCGAGGCGGCGGCGCTTTACCGGCGAGTTTCCCTTGTTTGCGGCGAGTTCAGCCAGGCGGCCAGACGGGGCTGGCGGCCTGTGGCGGCGCTGGCAGGGCTGGCGGCGCTGGCGGCCACCCGAAGCCCCCCGCCCCGCGCTACAGGTCGCCGTCAGCCGCGCGTTGCCGGCGACAACCGCACTGGCTCTGCCTGGGTGTCGCTGTTGGATAATGCTCCAATCGCGCATCCCCCCTCCCCTCCTCTCCCCTCCCGAGCCGCGGCGGCGCGGTCAAAATTACCCGCCACTGTAGCCGAAACTTGGATGAGACGGCGGGGCCGGGCGGGGCCAAATTGCTCGTCCGCCCGCCCGCCGAAACGCACTAGTACTGGGGTCGAGTCGGCACGGCGGGGCCAGATGAAGGAGAGAACGCCAGTTGTCGGATTCCGAGCAGTGCTTGTGCGCTCCGTCTCTCTCGCACTCCTGGAGACGACGAAGCACTGCCGGCTCGGCGCGTGGCTGCCCGAGGCCCAATCGGCGCACACCCCTCGAAACATGACGTCGACGTCGCCGACGCCCGCCGCTTCGCACGACCAACCGCGGCAGGGCGGGCAGGGACGGCCGGGCAGCTATTAGCGGAGTGGAAAGCGGATCGACTGAACGAAACGAGCCTTTAACCAGCCCGGCGAGCAGCGCGCCGGCGAGCCGCACCGCACCGCGGCGCTCATTTTGCAGAGCTTTCGGTTTCGCTCGGGGCGCCTCAAAACGCCACCGCGCCGCACCGCGCTCTGGACCGTACCGACCGTACAGTGCCGTGCCGCCGTGCCGGTTACGTACACTGCAGTCGATCACTCTCGATTTAAAAACGGACCCGTCGACATCCCGGGCTCGGAAAATTGGACTGGCGTGACACTGACCTTGGCTTGACGCCCAGCATGTCGGCGATGGTGGGGTTGCCCGAGTCGTCGGCGAGGCCGCCGCCGGCCGTGCGGTGGATCTTGGGCAGCTCGTCGCCGGACTCGAGGCGCACGAAGCCGCCGCGGTCCAGGTCCTTGTTGTTGAGCATGAAGTCCAGCAGGTCGGCGAAGTCATCGTGCGGCGCGTGCGTGGGCAGGGCCTCGAAGTCCACCTCGTGGGTCGGCACCACGTGGCCGCCCTGGCCGTGCACGGTGTACTGGTGGCGGGCCGCGGGGTGCACCACGCCGTGCGTCGCCTCGCTGTGCTCCTGCGGCGACTGCTGCGTGCCTGCGGGCAGAAAGGGCGGGTCGCGGGTTCAAATCTCGGCTCCGGTAACCGTCGGACAACATTTTTACAGCTACGGCGTCCTCACTGTTGTGTCGCGTCGCCGACCTCATCCATCTTTCAAAGGACGCGACAATTTCACTTTTATTGCGCAACTCCCCGCGAGACGACGGCGCGGCGGCACGGCGCGACGTGTGCGATGAAGGCACCGCCATCCCGCCTTATCGGAAAACCTTTCTTGCCGCCACGACGCGGACCACGCCGCCTCCGCCTCCACGGCCCCCCTCATCCCGGTAGGCCGCCCCGTCCCATCCAGTCGAGTCATGTCCGCCCAACAAAACCCGCGGCACGGCCGAGGCAGCGCCGAGGCACGGCCTCCACGGCCTCCACGGCCTCCACGGCCTCCACAGCCTCCACGGCCTCCACGGCCTCCACGGCCTCCACGGCCTCCACGGCCTCCGCGGCCTCCACGGCCTCCACGGCCTCCACGGCCTCCACGGCCTCCACGGCCTCCACGGCCTCCACGGCCTCCACGGCCTCCACACTCCACGGCGCGGCGCAGCGTAGCGCGGCGTAGCGCAGCGCGCATCCTAAAAAACGAACGGCACGTCGTCTGGCGGTGACACATCGCCGCGGGCCGGCCGGGCCGGGCGCGCCGCTAGGCATGTGGTTCACTGGACCATTGCAGCCGGCGGGGGGCATCCCGTCCCCCCTCGCCCGTCATAACAGGTGCGCGTATTGTACCAGAGAAACGTCCCGGAGGACCGAGGACCGAGCTCTCCGACAGGCAGAGCGGAGCAGAGAGCGGCGCCGGCGTCTGGCCGCGGCCCGGGGCGGCCTGGGGGCTCAGGCCGCAACAATAACCATTGTGACGAACTACCATAGTTGTGTCGCGCTGTCGCACTGTCAACCGGAGTAACGGCGGCCATGCGTCTCAGCCGGCGAATCCGGCGGGGCGGGGCGGCATGTTTGAGCAGATGAATAGTGGCGGGTCGCGGCGGGGGGTTCGGCGCGGCACCGCGGCAACGGCAACGACAACGCAGATGGCTCTCTTGTCGTGGAAGTGGGCCGGCAGGCAGGCAAGCAGGTGTGCCTGCGCGCCGCGCGCATGACTCGCGCTAACAAGTCAACTCTATCACATTACGGCGCGCGCAGCCGCCAGCCCCGTCTGCCCCGCCAGCCCCGCCAGCCCCGCCAGCCCCGCCGCGCTGACATATTATGACGGCATAACTTTGCGGCAGTAAAGCGACTCTGTCTTGACGCTCGTCGGCTACACCGTAACGCCCCGCCGTGCCCCGCCAATGGTAATTACGGTGGGATTAGAACGTGGAGGCAGGCCAGGCGCCCACCCGGACTCCAAACGACCACGAGCAGCACGCGCCGGGACCGCGGCTGGGACCGAGCCGCGAGGGCAATCTATTGGTGGCGACACACGTTCGGTTCGAGTCCCATTTAGACACTCTGGAGCTCAAAATAAGTCTACGGTTTCGGCCGCACTGTCGGCACTTCCCCGAACACTGCCTTCTGTCTCACTCGCACTCACGGCACGCCTCGTCGGGGTGCGAGAGAGACGGAGCGACGAAACGGGGTGCGGCACCGCCTTGCTAGGCCGTGCGAGGCGCGAGCCATGTAAACGAGTCCGATCTGGGGCGGCCGATGGGCACCCAGCTGGATAAGCGGTAGGCTGCGCTGGCTGCGCTGGCTGGTCAAGGCGTGTCTGGGATTCCTACTTCCCTCTCTCTCTCCCCGGAGCTGGCCTAGCCAACGGCACCGCATGCCACTGCCTCGCCCTGACCGTGACACTGAGACGCCGGCGCCGCGGCCAGTAGCAGGCTGCACGCTGCACTCTCTCACTCGCTCTCGGGGCGTCCGGCAGGGCCCTGCAGGGGTGCGAGAGAGACAGAGCGCGGTGGCCAGTCAGCACGGCCAGCAGCTCCCCAACAAAAACACAAGATCGTAGAGGGACACAGCGTCCGCGAGAACAGGGGGCCGTTGGACCGTTCCGGGGCGCCGCGGACGCCGTCGATGGGGTGGGCCGTGCCGCCGTGCCGCCGGCAGCCCTCGGAGGCCCTCGCCCCATGGGAACAACCACGTACCATCCACGTAGAATCCACGTGAGATAGGTGGATTAGGTGGATAGCATTTTTCTACCTTAAATCCACGTGACTTTCACGTTGATTTAACATCGATTTGGGCGTCTATGGTGGTCCATAGTAAACCAACGTTGACTCCACGTGGATAGTCCAACGGATTTTAGGGACGTTGTGTCTACGTCGATAATACGGTGACCTTGTGACGAGTATCCAGAGCGGTCCTATCGATATCAATGGTATGTGGATTGAGCGCCTTAACTTTTCTACACGATTTCAATGTTGATCACACGTATCCAAATTCATTGAAGCATGGTCGTCTGTCGATGCCGGATTCATCGCAGAGGATTCAGACTTCCACGTGGATTCAACGAAGATTATGTGAGGACTGTGGAACTTGATTAGTTTTGAAAGCTGCCGACAGAGGGCCTGCTGATATTTTTGTCTTTCCTTACCCTCTCGACCTGCAAGTAGGATGCCAATTCACCATGTCCTAGAGCCATACTACCATGCTCGTCGGACAACCTAAGTGGACTTGACGTGGTCTTCATAGGAATTGTCTCGATCGTATGATTTTTAGACGTCCTCACGTTAATCAACCGCGAGAGGACTTTCTAACATAAATGCAGAGTACGTTGAGAGATAGATTTCACATCGATTATCGACTCATTCGAATTATGCTTCACCAAGCTCAGAATGACCGGTACGCGCCTCGATGTAAAATCGATGGTAGGTGGATAAGGCGAGTTGCTGAATCCACGTTGCATCCACGTAGTTTGACTTGGACGTTTCTACTCGATTGTCAAGTCGACCATCCACGTCGATTCCACGTGAAAAGTAACGTTGCGTCCACGTCTCATCCACGTGGATGTTCCTATGGGGCGGCTGGGCTGCTGATGCTGCTTGCTGCTCAGATGGCGGATAAGCCAGCAGATGATGACGCTGCGGTGCTCAACCAAGACGGCGATCGAATTCCAAGCACCCCGCCCCGCCCCACAGTGGCCCCACACCCCTCCGCCTTTGCCCCCGTCGACTTCCGGATCCAGAGGCACTTAGCGCCAACACCAGGCGCCACCAGGCGCCGCCACCCCCCGCCAGTCCCAGCCAGCCAGAGACACACGACACACACGCCGCGTCGAGAGCGAGAGAGACAGAGCGACGAGTGCAGTGCAGTGCACCGCCTCCGCCTGCAGCAACTCTAGCGGTGTGCGTCAGCTGACCCTGGGCGCCTGGCCCGGCCTTCCTGGCCCGGCACGGTGACTTTCGCTCAACTGGTCCGGTCGCCGCTGCCGCCGCTGCCGCCGCACAGAACGCGTCCCTTTCGTTTTCAGAAATAATATTCCCGGATGATGTTCATGTCGTCCCTCGCGAGCGGGAACACGTCGGGGCGGCACGGCACGGCACGGCCGTGTTCATAACGAGTCGACACCGCGCGGCACTCCGAACAAACACACACACACCGACGCACACACAGACACACGCACACACACACACACACACACACACACACAGACACACCTACACACACACACACACACACACACAAACACACACAGCAAGCGCCTTCCCGGACGGCCCGGACGGTGACACCACGCCCGCGCCCCGATGACGGCGGCACGGCACGGCGGCGGCCATGTATTATTCACACGTCACATTTTGGGGCCGTCGCACCGCGTCGCACCGAGGCAGCCGCGCCAGTCAAGGCTTGCCGAGGGTAATCAAAGATTAACGCGGCCCGAACACTGTCATCCCCCCCCCACACACACACAGTGTCGCATAGGAGGAAACGGTGTCCTTCTTGGCCGCGCCGGACACTCCGGACACGCCGGACACTCGATCCCGAGCGTGTTGGTGTGCGTGTCCGTGCGTGCTCGGTGGCGCGGCTCGTGGCTCGCCACGGCCCGGCGCGGCGGGCAGGCGGGCAGGCCCATCCCGTCCCAAATGCCGCCGATCCCTATATACCCAGTGACCGGGTTCCCGCTGCAATGAGCTGCTACGCTGCAAGTCAGGCGGCACCGCTACGCTGCTGCGTTGCTACGCGGCTACGCGGCGTGCAGTGGCAATAAGCGGTACCGCCAGGCAAACGAGCGGTCTCTCTCCGTCGCACTCTTGGAGCGCAGCCTGCGGGTGCGCGAGAGAGACAGAGCGAGCGACGACGGCAAGGAGGCTGCAGGCGGACGCCTTGGGGCAGGGCAGGGCAGGGCAGGGCAGGGCCGCCGTCGACGCCAGACAGCCTCAGTCAACATAATTGCAACGCCACGTCCGCCAGTCCCCGCCAGTCCCCGCCAATCCGCGTGAATCAGCCCCAAAGCAGCGAAGCAGCAGGCAGCCGTCTGCAAGGCGCGGTGAGGCGAGGCGAGGCGCGGCAGCGACGAGGAAAACCACGCCAATCAATGCCGCCGCCAACGAACGGGGCGGAAAGGAGACCGGAGTGTCCCGGAGTGCGCCGTTTGCCGCCAACGGCCGCCAACCCGACAGCGTGACTCGACGCCCGCGCCATTCAAGTCCGTTTGTGTATTCCGCGATCCCGGGGGCGCGGCGCGGGGCGGGGCGGGGCGGGGCGGGGCGGTGGGCAGCAGTCTGGCCGCGGTCTGGCGGCCGTCTGGCGGCAGGTGGACCCACCGGTCCCGCTTTTGGGACGGGAGGTGTCGCGGAGCTTGGGCGAAGACCGTACACCGTACGAGCGGCGCGCCGGGCGGGCGACGCGCGACGCGGAGGAGGCACTTAGTGAAAGTGGACAGGTGGTGTGCCCCCCCCCTTCCCCTCCCCGTCCAGGTGCATGCAGATGGCGAGGGAAAGGACGGTGGAAGAAATGGCTCGCCAAGGACTCCCCCCTCCCCCGCGCAATGCGGGCACACTGATAGGGGGCAGTCAGCGACCGACAACCAGCGCTGATGTGGGCCGAGAGCAGCA